AAAATTTAGAGCTATTGGGGTATGTACATTCAGCTATAAAAAACCTAGACACATTAGTTTGCCGATCAATATTTGTGAATACAACAAAAAAAGTTACTTTTTTCTTTTTTCTTTAAATCAGTATTGACAGAAAACATTTTTTTTTTTAAATTGTAAAAACATCTTGTAGGAAATTTATTCTGGTTTTAGAACTATCTTTACAATTTTCTTCGTTGCTAAGATATTGATGATTAAAGACAAAAAGGTCTGTGTACCAAAACTGTGTACTAAAAAATAGAAAAATAAAAAAAATTTAAATTTTTTTCTCGCGCTATTTTTCAGGACTACGTAATAACCGTAGCTCGGAAAATTTTTTGTCAAAAGAGCTTAACCTAAAGCTTCAAAATGGCTTTGTTAAGAAATTTTTTGTTTCCTTAATTTTTTTGGAATAGTAGTTTATGGTCGTTTTGAAGTGTTTAAGATAACAATTTTTTTTAAAGAGTTTTTTACTGAAAAGCTTAATTTTGAATTAATTTAACAAATAAAAAAATTTCAAAATATTTGGAGAATTTAGTGAAACTTTTTAGACTGCTTTTTTTGGCATAATCTTGAAATAATCGAGTTTAAGCTTAAGATTTTAAAAATTAAAAAAATTCAGACACAAACTTTTGGGATTGTTTTTCGAAATAATCGACTTTTTCACTTAATTTATTAATTATAATTAGATTAACTTACAGTAAAAATAATTAATAAATTCTGAAAGCTACAAATGTTTAACAAAAATCTTATTTTGGTAAAGACAAAAAGGTCCTTTTTCATTAAAAGTAAGCGACAAACCGACTTAAAAAAACATAAAAAAGCAAATTGACGCTGAATGAACAAGCTCTCCGGCCCAAGCATTGATTCAATTAATAAAAATTTGTCCAAGTTTGTGGACCAAAAAATAGAAAAACAAAGAAAACAAGATTTTTTTTTCTCGGGCTATTTTTTCGGACTACGTAATAATTGTACTTGTAGCTCGAGAAAAATACAAACATTTTTCATTTTCAAAAATCATCAAAAAATTTAAGACATTTTTAGAATAGTATATAATAAAATTATGTCGAATATTTTGTCGTTTTGAAGTATTTGAGATAATAACAAATCTTTTTTCAAAGAGTTTTTACCGAAAAGTTTAATTTGGAATTAATTTGCAAATGAAAAACAAAATAGAGTAACATAAACGATGAATTTGGTCCATTTTCTAGGGGAAAAATAGTATAGTAAGAAATTTAAAACTTCTTTGACATTAAAAATGACTTCAAAGAATGCAAAGTTACTGAAAAAACATTAAAACAAAAACGAAACTCCAAATATTATTCCTATTTTTAGTTAAGCGAAAGTACATTTTTTTCAATTTTTATTAAAAAAATTCAATGGGTGCATTCGCTCCGATGCACCTATGGAGTCGGTGGAGGTCGGGAAATAAGTCATTACTTCCCTTGGTGGGGAAATAATTTATTTATGATTACCAATGTGACGCGCCCATCAATTTGTTTGGCAGAAAAAACAGGTATTTTGTTACTTGAACTTGAAATGAGATTGTAGATAATGACACATTTTCCACCTTGATCCATTTAATGTACTTGATTGACTCTTATCTAGCGAAAATAAACAAAATTTCGGTTCTTATTATTTATTTGCTCTCACGAGTTGCAATAAAACTGTTCTTTTTCCCAAATAATTAGTCCACTTAAATTTCGTATGAATTAATTGGGCAGCAAGGGAATGAAAGCTCATTGAGAATTGGTCGTCGTTTTCTTCAGGTCCAAACCAAACAGGTATTTCCTGTCGCATTAAAGTCCGACCTGATTGTCCACTGCAGACGGTTTTTTCATCTGTTGCCGAAAACGGTGATTATGTAAATGTGTCTGCCAAAAGTGTGGTCGAGATCCATCGTTGGAAGAAAGCAAAACTTTGATCTTTATTAATCGTTCGTTCGACGACCTCTCTTTCACTCTCGCTGGCGAAACCAGTGGTTCTCTAGGTCAGGGGCAATACTGCAAGAGGAAATTTATTGTGCGGTCTCCCCACGAGCCCCCACCGTATGGGAACTTCTCATTATCAAGTCGAGGAGTAATCGAGAGAGATCTTCACTATAAAACGTGGCCGATTTCGGAATCGTAATCACTGCGTCCTGCGACAGCGACAACAGATCATCCGGTGCTCGTCTTCTGGAAGTCCAAGTTCATGGCTTCCAAATTGTTTGTGAGTGCGAAGAGAAATACGATTTTTCTTGGAATTTTTCAATGTAATGTGTTTTAGGGGTTGTTGCTTTTGACGGCTTTGTTCGCCTACAGTGCGGCCACTTTTGGCAAAGAACAGTAAGTCAAGCTTTCTTCAAGATTTCTTCTTTTAATCCATTTCTTCTTTGAAACAGTGTGCATATAAGGATTCATGTTCCGGAACCTGCCCATCATCATGGTCACCACGAACACCATGAAGAAATCGTTCACCATCACCACGACGATGGTGGCGGCTTTGGCGGTGGATTTGGTGGTGGTTTCGGCGGCGGTGGCGGTGGCGGTCACCACCATCACGGAGGCGGCGATGGCGGCAAAATTATAATTTTGCAACAGGATGGTGGCGGTCACGGCGGCGGATTCGGAGGCGGTTTTGGAGGAGGTACAATCATCTCATTTAAATAATTTTTTTTCCTAATTGGTTTATTTTAAGGACACGATGATCACCACCATGGTGGTGGTGGTGGCGGTTTTGGCGGCGGTTTCGGTGGAGGTCACGATGACCACCACGGAGGCGGCGGATTTGGCGGCGGAGGTTTTGGAGGCGGACATGACGACCACCATGGAGGTGGCGGATTTGGCGGTGGATTTGGCGGAGGTTTTGGCGGCGGCCACGATGATCACCACGGAGGTGGCGGCTATGGAGGAGGCGGCGGTTTTGGAGGCGGCCATGATGATCACCACGGCGGTGGTGGCGGATTTGGAGGTGGTTTCGGAGGCGGATTTGGCGGCGGCCACGATGATCACCACGGAGGTGGAGGATACGGTGGAGGCGGCGGATTTGGAGGAGGAGGAGGTTTTGGAGGCGGTCATGACGATCACCACGGAGGTGGTGGCGGATTTGGAGGAGGCGGCGGTTTTGGAGGTGGTCATGACGATCACCACGGAGGTGGTGGCGGATTTGGAGGAGGATTCGGAGGCGGATTTGGCGGCGGCCACGATGATCACCACGGAGGTGGAGGATACGGTGGAGGCGGCGGATTTGGAGGAGGAGGAGGAGGTTTTGGAGGAGGTCATGACGATCACCACGGAGGTGGTGGATACGGCGGCGGTGGAGGTGGATTTGGAGGCGGCCATGACGATCACCACGGAGGTGGTGGATTCGGTGGCGGCGGAGGATTTGGAGGCGGTTTTGGAGGTGGACACGATGATCATCACGGAGGCGGCGGTAAATATTTCCCCGATAGCTAAATTATCATTTCTTTATTTTGATAATTTTTAGGAGGCGGTTACGGAGGAGGTGGCGGCGGCTTTGGCGGCGGTCACGGCGGCGGTGCGTCTCACACCACTATTATTCTGAAAGGAGGCGGCGGATTTGGAGGAGGATTTGGGGGCGGCCACGGCGGAGGTGGCGGATTTGGAGGCGGCCACGGCGGTCATCATGGCGGTTATGACAAATAATCGATGCCAAAAGTACCTAAAGTCTGTCATTTTTAGTGTTAGTTCATAATTTATCATCGTCATCGTGTTTTTGTGTCATTGTATGTCTGTGTCTTTGTAAATATTGTTGATATTTTTTGTTATTAATTATATATTTTTTTATAATATAACATATACATAACAAACACGTTTTATTTACAATTTTATCTGCAAGAAGTTCAGAACAAGTAGTGATGAAAAAACTGATAAAATTGTGATAGAGTAAAACTTTCTTCAACTTTACTCTTCCTTTGGTATTTCGAACTGTAATGCCACTAAAACATAAGTTAGAATGTTTGCAGATATCTAAAAATCGAAATAAAATTTAAATTAAATAATTTGTGTTTCAATACCGGTCCAGCAATCCCTAAATCAATAGTAAAAACTCCACTCGCAGTCAACGGCCGATGTTGTTTCAACTTTTCAATAAAAAGCCTCACTTGTTGATGCTCCTCCAGCGACGAAATCCTCGTCGAATACTCCAACAGGAAATTGTTCAAGCCTTGTATCTAAACAATAGCCATTAAAAGAGCATTAGATACCTACTTTTATTGCACTAGATTCACAAACATGCGTGTTTTCGAAGTAAAATTGCTATTTTCGTACACAGAGACACAAATCATTAATTAAGACCGCTTTTACTTCAACACCACCAACTTTCTTCCGATTATAAATTTTTATAATTTACGTATTGCACGTGCTATTATTTAAACGATCAACTTTCCAATTAACACTAAATTCCACCATATGGTTTCGAGTAAATAGAGCACACTCACCATGTTTTTCAGCTGTTGGGCATTTTTCAGAAAGAGAAAAATTCCTAGAGTGTGAACAACCACGAAGAAGCAGTTCACCACGTGGATACTGCTAGCTAGAGGAGCCTTGAAGGTGAAGGCCATGTAGACAATAACGGCGTACCACTGGACAATTAACACCGTCAACTCGACGACAGTATGGCACAAGAACTGGGGATTGAGACAATCGTTGACTTCGTATATAACCAAACTGATATCTTCGTGCAAAATTCGCAAAAATTCAACAACTTCGGCTTGTGGTAATTTGGCTAAACGCCCGGAACAGGGGTGTTCCTCCTTACACAACTTATAAGTGACTAGACCGAGAAAATCCCGGGTGTTGTTAGTCTCATTTATGCCTTTCATGGGGTGAACTGGGGTGTATTTGAGACAACTGATGGTTAGTTTCTCGAAACACGCCAAAATTCCGATAAAAATTGAAATGACAGTGAAGAAAATGACGTAGAAGATGAATGAGATGTTTTGGAGGAGTTTGTTGATGAAGAAATTGTAGTCAAAGTCCGTTTGGTAGGTTTGCGAGAAGTGCAAGAATGTTAAAAGACTGACTTGGAACACAATTGCTACGACAGTTGTCCCTAAAATGTACCAAACAATTTTTTGAACAATCTTCATTGCAGATTGACAAAAAATCCCTTCTTTGAGCACCAAGGGAAACTTGTTGAGTGTCTTGACCCATCTAGGAAAACGGTACAAGTTAATTGCAATCAAAATAATGATATAGACTCCATAGATGGCATCTGTAATGTTGTTTAGAAGAATTGGTAACGATTTGGTCTTGGTCAAGTGGAAAAAATCAATAGAGTTGAAAACTTGAAACGCCAAAACCCCGATAATCACAAGTGAGAGACAAATAAAAGTGATTGATTTTTTAAACACACACTTCCCTCCCTGATGTTCAACAGCTAAGGGCAAAAAGCCTAAGAACCTCCCAACGTAGAGGAGCGGTCTGAGCATCTTGCAGAAACAAATGGTGTTTTTCTTCAGCTCGAAGACTGGAGTGGTGTGCTTGGTGCTGAGATACATGACTAGTCTGCCCAAGAGGCGTGGAATTGCAGTGCTACCAACACGTAGGTGACCACCGTTCCGGAAATCTGCAAGTCGAGCTTGAGTTTTGCCCAATTTTGCTTTTTCTTACCGAGGCTAGAAGACGAGTACCGACTGTGAAAATGTCCGAAGCTCGCAAAACCGGTTTTTGGATTGTGAGAGTTGTTATTAAGACTTCCACCTGAAAAGCAATGATAAGGAAAGAGTCGGGAGAAGTCACACGCACCTGTGCTGCCTCGGCCGCGGTCAATTTACTGATTGGATATTTGAACAGAAATGACAGGATATCTTCGCTCTAGAACAAATAATTTTATCGGATTAGAATCAATGAAATGAAACGTTGATGAGTCGGTAATGTTGGATTATTATTGGATTAGGGGGCGAGGGTTGTTTGACAATGGGGAGGGTGATTAAAGGTGATGGGCCTCCAGAGACGGATTATGACGACTTTGTACTATTTATTACAAGTTTGTTTCGAGCTGTAGTATCCTGGTGACCAACATAATTAAAAAAAATAGCTTTAATAATATTACGATGTTGTATTCATCGTAAAAATAGAAAGTTTGACCTCTAAACAAATACAAGTAGTGCAATAATATGTGTGTATATTTGGTTGCATATGTAGCAGCATTAAAGTAATAAATAAATACAGGGTGTAACAACTTAAAAGTGTCACTTTTTTGGCGAGCGTGGCGAAATAAAAAAAACTTACTTTTAAGTCGAATAAAACATGCAATTTTTATCTCCAGCCAACAACATGTACAAAATTAGAAAAAAATTACCTATATTGTTTTAGTAGAGAAAAAAAATTCGTTTTTCTTTAATAAGTTTTCTTTAATAATTTAAAACAACATTAAAACTTACCACAGCATTAATTTTTTCAAAAATATTTGATCGATTAAGAAATAGTATATTGTTCAACGCGTGAGAAAATTGGCCATTTCCACAAAGATAAAATTTACGATATAAGTCAAAAACGAGTGAAGTACTTCATCTGTGTGGAAATGGCTTTTTCTCACAAGTTTAATACTGTACTTTTTCTAATTTTAAATAAAGACTAATATATTTTTTTAATTATTACTATTATTTAATTTTCTCTACAGTTGTAGAAAAAATTAAAAACTTTTTCCACACTTTCGATTTTATTTACAGTTGAAGATTGAATAACTTTCTCAAGTAAAA